TTAAATATAAAATAGTCTCATTATCTTACTGCACCGGCTCACTGCTAACCTTGAATTTGAGGCTTTGTTCAAACCTTGAATGATTCTTAAGCCTGTACTAAATGTTAGACGTTTGTGGGCATCAATAGATTGGATTAAGTCCCCAAAGCTGTAAATTCAGGGTCAAGATTCAGAGCCCCACTTTCGTTCTAAAATAAGCTTTGTCTCTCAGGTTTTTTGTTTCCAAAAATTTCCCCTTACAAGGACAGGACAGACAATTGGTAAATGCAACCAATGTCCAAAGGAAATACTATGGAGAGTATTCAAAAATCCTGCAGAATTACTGAGCTAAGCCATTTACTGAGATCGGAAGAAAGTGTGGCCGCTTCCAATCAAAACATAAAGAAGGGGTAGGTCAACAGTTCTGCAGGTCTGTATGATAAAGTAGTTCCGTTAATTTTCTTTTGGCATTCACATGTTCCCACCCACACAGTAATAAAAATCATTGACAGTTCATTAGCTTTAGTTGTTTTATGTTAACATAAAAAAAACAACTCGACTGGCCCAGTTGGCATCTATCAAGCATCTTTTTTCAGTCTCACTGGCACTTGTTTGCTGAATATCAGATGTGTATTCATCTGCAGCCCCTTGTACAGTAGATGGAAGAGATTAAGAAACTATTCATTTTTCTTATTTAAAAAAAACTTTCCTAGCTTATTGTAAAATATACCAACACAATTAGCTCTAGATGACTTTTCAAAGATAGCTTCAGAGGTAACAGAAATGCTTTGGGCTCTAAAATCAATAGTATAAGTATGAGCGCACTGACAGATGGACAAAGCTTTGATCTTGAGAATCTCTTAGATTTCATGGAACTGTGCCAGGCGTATTGTTGGACATGCTCACGGAGACGCACAGAAATGGTTCTATGATTTTTTTTTTTTATAAGGTGTGAGGTTCCAGACTGGATGAACTCTGCTGTGATCCATTTGTCCCACATATCAAAGGAGCTGCTCTGCAGAGCTCAGTCAAAAGAGCTGTCACTTTACTGGTACGTGCATGCATATGTGCATTTTCATCCGCTCTTTACTTTGAAACAAACCCACCAAATGTTAAAGCTGACATGAGGCGACAGTTGCACAGTAGTGCTGAGGGGAGTAATTCAATAATGGATGCCATCTCTAATGCGGGAGTCTGGATGGATAAAATATACATGGGAGAGAAGAGGCGAGCAGAGGGGGAGGAGGGAGAAGGGGGTGGTGATATCACTGGAACACAGCAGGAGGTCAGACGCAGGGATTAGGTGCATGATATATAGAAGAGTGGAGTGGTGGTTTTTGTGACAAATGGGAGAATTCAAGGCTTTTGTGAAGCTTATTTGACCTGTTCGAGGATCTATCTGACCTTAAATTAAGCGTGCTTCATTCTACAGTCACAAAGCTGCCACTTAATTATATCCACTGTGTAAGCCTGCTTCAAGAGAAGGATATGGGATAAAAAAATATATATATCAACCATGAAATCAAGAAGAGGAGGGGTGCACTGTTCCTTCATGTCAGGTCACATCTGCTGCCTCACACACAGGTCAAAGATGGAGTACAAAACAAAACACACTCCATTACTATTACACCATGCAGGGGACACACATGCGTCATTCACACAAAGTAAACACATACCCATTTGATAGGGAGAACGTGCAATTAACGTAACATATTTCAATTCTGTCTTTGAACAATTATGGAAACAATGCTTTCTCAAACGTCCACTGAAGAATTAGAAATTTATCGCCAAAAATTTACAAACAGGGCGCTGTAAGGTGAGCGCTATCTCGAGCAGAGAGTTTTGTTTATCTTGAATTTTGACAGCAACTAGTGCCATTATTTACAACATGAATATGACTTTTATTCCTTTTTCAATTAAATCTTGTAGCATAGTTTTAAAAAGGTAGGATTGTTTGGTAAATCTGTGCCTATGCGGATTCACCCATTTTCCTTTCTAACTTTCCCCTCCCTTGCATGCTACAGAAAACACATGCTTGGTGACAAATACATGAACCTTTTGGACTAATTTTATTACTTTTTTTAAGATGCCAAAACACACACTGAGCTGTCACCTTCACAAATGAACTCACTTTGCCCATAAGCTATCATTTTACTTGATTATATAGCTGTAAAAAGACAATCACAACGGGCTTTGTCTGTAGTGATTTATTCAGCTGTTGTCATGGTAAAAGATTTTAATATGCCAGTTGACTTGCAGTCTTAATGGGCCTTATTGTAGTCATTTTTAAGGCTCATTCTGTCAGATCATTCGGAATTCAACGGAATATTGAAGTTGTTAAAAAAATTCACTCGAATTTCAGTTGTGGTACAACATATATGAGTCTAAATTAATTAGCTTTAGTGCTTCTCTGAAGAAGACATTAACAAATTAGTGGGTAGACAAGCACATTGAAAGAAAATTAAAGTTAATTAAAATCTCATTTTATACAGGGAGTGAAGAGCACATCTCTCATTTAAAAATACCATGCACATGCACATCTCAATGGGCGATAACAGTCAGTGTGATAAATATACTCATGACAGTGACTCCCGCAGGAGGGAAGGGGGAAACTAAAAACCAAAAGACGAAAAGACAACAGCAAGGACAGAAATGTTTCACGAACTTCAATGCTCAGAAGGAAAGTGCTAAATTATCCAAACTTTGTGGAAAGCATACCACCCTACATTCTCAAAAGAAAAACTTCAAACAGCATTTTGAGCACATTTGAGATACTCTTTAAAGGTCTGCCTGATGCTTGGAATGCTTCAGCACTCTGCTTTAGCTGCGGTACAAACATTTAAAATAAAAACAACAGGACTTTGCAAACAACTCACAATTTATTACATAGCCTAAAGAGTAAACGCCAAAAATGAATGAGTGATGAAAAAGTGCCATACTTTATAGAGTTTTAAAATTGTCAATGTTGCTATAACCACATTGCAGACATACTGTCAATTCTCTCAATTTGCACTCTTTTCTTTTTCTTTTCTATTCCTTTCTTTCTTACTTGTCTTTTGTTTTTATCTTTCTTATCTTTTTTAGTCTGATAATCTAATGTTTATGTACAACTCCCTGGTTTGCCTTACAAAAAAGGGACCTTTTTTAATCAAATTCAACTATTTCAGCACCATGGACAGAGACTCACGTTTAGTTTCATGCATTGTCTTCACAATCAACCTGCCAGGGTTCTGAAATTTCACATCCACATGTCACATGTTGGAGCTTTTAATCAGTCCCCCCCCCCCCCCCCCCCCAGGATCACTTCAAAATAGCACATACAAGGTTTCAGGTCAAGTTATTAAAAGTAATCCGTTTGTGTGGATGAATTCAGTAGTAAATCTCTCTCCCATCGAGAAGTCGGTCATTATTTATGAAATTGCCAAAGAATGCTAAAATGTGCCATTAACTGTTGAAAATTGGATTTAGCTGCCACAAATAGTTTCATATATTGGCACCATTAGAGCTTCAATGGAGCTTGATATGTTGTCGTACTTAGAAGTTCGATTTCCATTCTTTCTTCTAAAAATTGGCAGCATAATAAAATACTGAGCTTGCTCTAAATCTGACTAAATTAGCTCTAAAAAATCCTGAATAATCTCTGAATTTAATAATATTTCTTATTTACTTTTTTTTTTTTTATGCTTGGACTCAACAAGGGAACTAGTTGTCTAGAGCCAATAGTATGTGTATTTTCCCCCCAATGATTTCTGCTTGTACTAAATTCAGAATAAGATTACATAAAACTAAAACAACAACAAGGTCAACATGCAATTGCTTTTATGCTTTTTAACTGTTGTGTTAAAAACAGATAAAAGATGCAGTTCTCTGGATGATGCCTTATATAGAATAAGGGGCAAATTATATGTTAGTCATAGTTTGCTACAAGATCAGTGGTTTAAGTGAAGCGCTTCACATTTTGCTCTGCTTTGTTCTCCTCTCTCAAGCTTCTGCCCTCGCCAATCCATACACGGCATGGAGGTGACAGCAGCTCTCCTGCTGGCGAGCGTCATTGCACAGCTCACTGGTGCAACAGATTGGCCAGCAGAGAAGCCCAGCGACTAAAAAGACTCATACAAGGCTGAAAGCATGCTGAAGTATAAATGCAGGTCTACAACTGCACAAAAACTCCTATTGATCATGACCTCCTACGACAAAGCTGGACAGCTTCCAGGTTTTTGAAGAACCCCTTTTTTCTCTCCATCTACAGCCTTTGGTTCAGATACTGTAAGCCTTGATTCTATTACACATATTCCAGTCAAGGTCTCTCATAGTAGAAAATGCGAATACAAATAACTGTTTGCAGGTCATTTATTCTGTATATTTATTTGAAAATAGTTTAAATATAAATTAGAGAATAATAATGTATAATAAATAAGTAATATAAATATATATTACTTATTCAAACTGAGAATTTAGATCGTGCCTAAGAAACATTAACATAATTAGGAGACAGCCTGGAACAAGGTATAGCATCCTGTGAATGATTTTAAGTATAGATAGTTTTCTACTCTGAGAACAACATTGTAGGGGATTGGAATCATCAAAAGAATCCAACATGTAGCAAAATCCAATTTTATCGTTGGATGGATTTGGAACAACAACAAAATACAGAAAAAAGTCCACCTCATCTCACGCCAGATGTGTAGAAAGGAACTGGAAAATTGTCACTTTCAAGATGCTTATTTCAGCAAGACATTGTCAAACCACATTCTGCATGTAGCAAAAAAGAATGACTCCATCATAAAAAAGGGGAAGTTTCAATTATATGATGAGGGGCTGAAATCTTTACTTGATTATTATTAACCTACAACTGAGAATACTTTTAAAGAAGTGATACAACACAATACTAAACAAGTCCCAGCACAACTAACCAACACACACTGCTGCCCTGAAACTGAAAATATGCATGTAAATATTCTCTCTGTGTCCCTAATATACATATAGATAGGAAAATTGAGTGTAAGTAAGGATTAACTTACCTGCTACTTTTCCGGGGCAGAGGTAGGTCCTTCTGGTAAGAAAGACAAAGCAGGAGACAGAAATTAAAAAAGGGGGAAAGAAACAGCAAACAGATCAGGTCATTTTTTTCTGCAATTCATGAGCAAATTTTAAAAAAGGCTTCGTTGACCAGCTGTTTATTTAAAGACTGAAGCAGATCAGCATTAATGTAGTTTCACTTTCACCACTACTCTTCCCTGGACGGAACCAAATGGTTGTGTATCAGTTGGTCAATATGATATTTTATGCATGTCTGCTTCTTTCAAAGTAACTTTTTAACTTGGTTTTTAAAGTTTATCTTTGTAGCTCAAAAGAACGCTTAGCATGTAACATTTTGTGCATTTTAACTAATTAATCCCACTCACTTATTTTGCCAGCATCAAACCTCAAATGTGCACTTGGTGTTGAAAGATTGTCTAACACTAAAGAATTTTGTTTTGAATTGTGTTAATGAAGCCCTTTACCTACATTTTCAGGTGCCCAGTGAATAAAGGCTAAAGGCCTCACCATAGCAGGCCTTATGTGATTCCTAAACTGTGAACTGCTTGACTTTCTCCTGTTGAGGATCCCATCTTGAAAACTCTTTTTAACATGTGTAAAATGATTTTAAAAAATGATTAATTTTTCTGTACTTTATAGGAGCATAATAGATAACAAATCATAGAAAGGATTTCAGTTAGATTAATTTCCTCTTTTACTTAATCGTGTTGTCTTCACAATTGTCTGTCCTTGTCTTGTGTGAGGAGAAGGAGTTTGAAAACTGATCCCTCACAGACTTCTGATCTTCTGGAACAATCAGGTTGAGTGGAGCAAAAGTCAATATAAAAATTGTTGCTGCTATATTTATGACAATGGGAGACAACAGCAAAGACTATGATGTGATTAGGATGTCCTGCAATACATCTGCTTTGCTGCTTGTTGTCCATTTATTGCCAATTTAAATCCATTTAACTTTCAGTCTAGGTAAGATCAGGTAACGGTCAGATTCTATTGTCAGCCTGCCAGGCTTTACTTGTCAGGCTATTTTCTACTACTCATTGACTTAGACCAAAAGATGTTATCAATAAGGGATTATTCTTTTTTGGCTTTATGACGCACTGACATGTCAGTGAGTATAAATCAATCTGAATGATTAACAACAACAAAAGGATCACAAAAGCAAAAATGAGACATTTCCTCCCTTCTTTCTCTCAGCCTGTTTGTACATCGAGCAGACAATAAAAAACTAAACATATGCAAGCTGATGAAACCTGTTTTGACAATTGACAAGTCTCAAAATACTCCAACACCATCCAAAATTGTTGTGACTGCATGGGTTCAGGACCACTTCTACCCTGAGGGAGCACAGTTTGTCAAAAATACAGGTTGACAAATGCCAAAATGTCTACAATGGTCTGAGATCAACGTATAATGTAACATTTGGCAATATTAAGCAATACCGAAATCAGTCTAACTAATCCCTTGTCATGTCAATGATTTTTTAAAAAGAGAACGAAAGCCATAAAACACTGAACAAATTGAGACACCATCAGAAGATGCTTTTTATCTATACATAAACTGGGAGTGTCTTGGAATAATCACAAGATGGATGTGACAAACTACCTTTGGAATCTCTGACAGATTTCCACTTTTTTTATTTACTCACTTACAAACAATGGATTTTATCCACTCACTTAAGCCATCTTTTTTATCTCTTTTATGTGTACCTATTCATTTATCTGTTGTTTAAAAGTGCAGTTGATGTGATTACTTGAGAAGAAGTAGCCACCTATAAAATCGTTTTCTAAATTTAGCAGTTATGTACTTGCAAAAAAGAATCTCCATGGACACAACATACCCTCACAACTTTATATATGTGGCACATTTGGTGCATAAGCAGACATACTATGAAAGACATCCTTTTGAGCACTAAAATGTTTAAGACAAAATAGAAGATAGGCAGAATACATATATTCTAAAAAAATTGGCATTGATTGGAACCATTCAGAGTGTTATAAGCAAATAGTCCAAAAAGCTATTTCTGTGTTATAATGTTGTATTAGTGGCCCTGGCAAAATTGAGTCATACCATTTTTGAGCTGGCATTTTCTGGTGAAAGAGTTATGCAATGTGCAGACAGCACAAAATTACATCTTGTACACAATTTCATATTTCTGAAAGAAAAAGTTATGGGTATGTCAGTCCTGACCAGTGGACATATTTTGATACCAGACATAAGATAATGACCCCATGACATTGCATACAAAAATATGTATTTAACACTGATGGGACAAAATAACACCTGAAACATTTCATGGTGTGATATTTCCCATGCCAAATCCTCTTTTGCTCATACGAAACCTTTTTTTTTTTTTGTACTTGAAAGCCTGAAATACATATATTGCTGTTTGTTATGAAATAAGATGGATAAGATAGCATGAAATATCTTTGGTTTAAATCTTGCACTGAAATAAGAGAAGATACAATACTTGAAGAAATCAGTCAAGAAATCACCCACGTTTTTTCTGATTTAGGGTTTCGGGTGATACTTTTGAGAGACCTTTGGGTGCCTATCGTTTAAATAAATAAGGGATATGTCTTCCCATATTTTTTTACAGCTGTCATTGTACAAAAATAACCACGCCTGCAGAGGTAGAACATGCAAACTCTACACAGAAAGTCCCCCACCTGAGACTCAGACCAGGAACCCTTTTTGTTACGAATGTGAGGCAACTAATTTCCTTCCACACCAGCTTTATCCATTTCGGGATCATGGAATTGCTACTACATAATACAGCCTGTATTTCAAATTGGAAGATTTCATACTAGGACGCTCAAAATGGATACATAAATAAATAATAAATGTCTCACTGCGCAAATACTGTAATATAATAATCACTTATTACACCCAGTAAACCCAAAGTTGATTTTTATTTTTTTATTTTAATTTAATTTAATCTAATTTTCTTTTAATGATTTTTAAAAACTGCATTGAGATGATTGCCCCCTTTTTTGGTGCAGGTAGGATAAAAATGAAGCAACACCTTTTTGAATAGCATGTCAACAATATGTAAAATGTGCTACATTACATATTGAGTTTCAAAAGATGACATCACTCTCCTGTTTGTGTATTTATCAAAATCTTTTAGTCAAGCTGTGACAATCTCCACGGTCTGTATGTTATGGCATTTATCGTCATGTAACTCTCACATATGGAAATATATGACACATCTTTCCTGTCCTCTCAACCCCCAGCTGATGAGGCAGATGGTCTCCTTTCCTGAATCTGGTTCTACTGGAGTTTTTTTCCAGTTAGGCAGGATACTTTTTTTCTTCCTATTATTGCCTTTTACACATTTAGAACTGGTAACTAATTCAAATAGATGTCCCTACAGTCTTAGTTATGTGATGGTTTATGGATTTGTCATGAATGGTAAAGGATAAAGAAGCCGAAATATACTGACTAGCCAGACGGATGTAGGGAGGTAGAGTGAAAACTTAATAGAGATAGCTGAGGAATAACAAGAATCAGTAAAGAGAAACCAGTTAAACGAAAACAAATCAAAATGAAAGAAACGAAGAATAATCAACTAAGAAAAACACCAGAAAACAGGGAAGCCAACACAAGCACAAAATATTAAAAATACCAACTGCACTTCCATAACTGGAAAAATGAAATCAAAGTCTTCAACAAAACAAACATCCACAAAATCCAGAACTGGTGTTTATTTTGGCACTGTATGAATTTCACATATTCATAGTGGCATAAAGATTTTGGTCATAATTGGCTTGAATTGGACTTTATCCTTTAAGGCTCTTGATAAGACATATTTGGCTCTATGAATTCAAGTGAACTGGACTGAAATGCTAAATCAAACATATCAGATGCTGCAGTATGTTCAAATCAAAGGACAGCCGCCACCTTTTTTTTCAATGAGTGAGATCATCCATCATAGTGGGCTTATTCTGGGATACTACATCATCAAGATGAAGTACGATTGGCCAGGGTGACTCACAGAGAGCCCCAAAGGAGTTTTGCGTGTATGTGTATGTGGGTGTATGTGGGTGTATGAGATGATAAGGATGGCTAATGGATAAAACCCCCAACACCTGATCCCTCTCACTCTCTGCTCAATACGGAGCTTGTGTACATACTGCTGCCACGTTACTGGTAATTTCATCATTTCCCAGAGCCACATTTTTCAAATTGGGTTTCCGGGGGCCTTTCTGTGTGGAGTTTGCATGTTCTCCCCGTGTCTGTGAGGGTTCCCTGCGGGCACGCTGACTTCCTCTCACCGTCCAAAAAAATGCATGTTAAGTTAATTGATGACTCTAAATTTCCCATAGGAGTGAATCTAAGCGTGTGTGCTCGTTCTTCTCTATGTGGCCCATATGTGGCAACCTGTCCAGGGCGTATCCTGCCACTCGCCCAGTGACAGCTGGGACAGGCCCATTGCGACACAATAAAGAATAAGCAGTGTAGACAATAGTTTTTCAAATTCAGTGGATCAAAATTATATACAAAATGTCTACATTTGATTCCACTCTTTGCTTTAAAACCTGACCCTTTGGATGCAAAATACAGCAGGGTGGGTGATACTGGGAATTATGGTCTAAACTCTGTAAAGAAATTCACGTAAAGTCCTGCACTTTTCCTAAATAATCTGCTACAAGAGTGTCAGTCTCATCCTGATAATGTTGATCTATTGCCGATACTCACATTTGTATCGATCAAAACACCTCTAAAATAAAGCTATGTAGACATAAACAAAGAAAAACTTCACCAGTTTAATTGCATGTCCAAATAGTCAAAAGGTATGGGAAAAATAGTCCTATTGTTAATTCCATTCTTAATGAAAATTGTGTTCTGTATATCTAAAACCTTCTAAAAGATTTCCACAAAAAAAAAATAGAATGACAATACATTCTTACTCCTAACTTGTCACATTCAGGCACTTTAAAGGCAAAAGCTTCCCTTTGGTGGAGCTTTTCAAAGCACAGGAACCTGATCTAACACCACATCTTGTTGGGCATC